GTGTAACTCTCACCTGAATGTTTGCAGTCATTCTGTCTTTAGTCTTGGATAATATACTTTATAGCATTTGGTGTCTTTCTAACTTTGTTATTTTTTATTAATTCATAAACTTTCTGATGTAGAAAATTCTGAGCAACCCCGTTCACCTGGACAAGTCTTTTGCATATAAATTTCTGCACCCTTGGCTTGGAACTGGCCTTCTAACCAGGTAAACCTGTGGCTATCCTCTTTGATCAATATAAATGTTACTCCCTCGCATAAGTTTGTAATTTGCCAATAATAATAATAATAATAATAATAATAATAATAAGAAATATAGCAACACTGCATGAGACATTACATTCAAGTTTTGACCAAAACAACTATAAAATCATCATTCCAGGAATGCTAGGCCTTTAATTACACAAATCCCACAAAGCAAAATTTGTCTGGCCCAGTTCTGCTCCAACACAATGCCCAGACACCACAAAGAATGAATGCCCCCATTTTATATACAATGCCATTATTGCCGTACCTGGCCCACATCTAGTTGACAAACCACTTGCCATACCAGCTGTGCCATGACACGAGCTCTGGCCCGCACCTGTCTGCCATGTGGGATAGAACATGATAAGTCTCTGTGGGTGGAGCTATAACAAAGAAAGCAAAATTCGGTTTTTATAGTACTTGATTGCTGCCATAATACAAATAAGTATCCAAGTTCTGCTTTTTTATTTCATTAATTTATTTTTTTATCAGCACGGGGCAAAAGTGGCGTCAAAGAAGAAAAATACTGACACCAACCTTCCATTTCTCCATCCTAACGGACTTCCTGCTTGTGATGAATGAGCAGGCWGAGATTCTGGTGGAAAAGCTGGAGAAGAAGGCCGGGAAAGGTTCATTCAACTGTTTCAGTGACGTCACCCTCTGTGCTCTGGACATCATCTGTGGTGGGCAGATGGAACCTTCCACCCCCACCCCTCACACAAAGTGGACTCAGTGCTCATTTTGCACATYTGAAATAGAAACACATATCTTAATATTCTAAATTTTGTTTTGTTTTTCCATTTAGAAACAGCYATGGGGAAGAAAATACATGCACAAAGTGATTCTGAGTCAGAGTATGTGAAGAGTGTATACAGGTAGGTTATTTTAATTTTAATATCACCAAAGTAATAGTAAAAAAGAAATGCAATCTAATTAAAGTTTTTTTATTTTGTTTGTTTTATTTTTTATTTATTTATTTATTTATTTA